TAATTAATTTAGATTTTGAGGTTAAATACTACCTGCATTTCATTTATTATTATTATTATTATTATTTTTACTATTTATTTATACGGTTGTTTATATATTTATTTATTTAGTTTGTTATTTCTGGTTTTCAGGTGAAATGGACATGTGTCCTTATATGTGCTATTATTACTATTAGTAGCAGTATTGTTATTTTAATTATTATATTATGTTTAAATGTTTATTTTATTTTAACCTAATAAAGATACAAACAAATACATAAATAAGCCTGTAGGACTGATTTTGGTATTGTGACGACATTTTCCCCAGAAATCTTATTCCTGCAATACAGAAATGAATGTTTTATTAAATGGTTAAATTATTTACCTTCTTTCATTTCTAAAAATACCATAAATTGAATTCAGTACAACAAATGCCACCATAAAGTGTACTTAAAATTGGGCTTCAAAAAAGAACAAAGAAAAAAAAAGCCATTTAATTTACTACTATAGATTTTTGAAAGAATACCTGGGCATTTCTTAAGTTTCTGTAAATATCTCCGTAATACAACTCTATGAGGAAAAAACTAAACACCCTGTCTTTGTGGTTCACAAAACAAACACGCTTGTAGTCCATCAAGGTAGCGCTAGGAGAGGAACTTCCTGTTATGTGAGAGCTGACTATACACACAGACACAGAGTCTTTTTCAGTTATCACCCCCTCCCTTTTTTAACAGGAAGCTGTTTTCCCCCCATATCCAAAGAGGAAACATCTGTAGCTTATTTCCAAACCCTAATACACACACACACACACACACACACACACACCAGTAAAGCCATTTTCCGGATTGACTCAAAAACATCTCAAAAGCATCTATTTTTCCTGGTATATGTTTTACAGGTATAGACAATCAACAAAAAAAAAACCCAAAGAAGAATTGCACTGTGAAAGAAAAAAAGCCAGATGTGCCACAAAAGTTTTCCACTGCAGCCAAAAAACGGCAGGAACGACAATCATGTGACCAACCAGAAATCTCCCACTACGGCCGCCCAGGGAGGAAGTGAGAGTGGGGGAGTGAGTGTACGTCCCTTTTTTAACAGGAAGCTGTTTTCCCCCCATATCCAAAGAGGAAACATCTGTAGCTTATTTCCAAACCCTAATACACACACACACACACACACACACACACACCAGTAAAGCCATTTTCCGGATTGACTCAAAAACATCTCAAAAGCATCTATTTTTCCTGGTATATGTTTTACAGGTATAGACAATCAACAAAAAAAAAACCCAAAGAAGAATTGCACTGTGAAAGAAAAAAAGCCAGATGTGCCACAAAAGTTTTCCACTGCAGCCAAAAAACGGCAGGAACGACAATCATGTGACCAACCAGAAATCTCCCACTACGGCCGCCCAGGGAGGAAGTGAGAGTGGGGGAGTGAGTGTACGTCTGTGTGTGTGTGTGCGGTAGTAAAAGTCCACATCACGAACTGTCACTATTCCTGTAAAGGCGGAGCCAAGCAGTCGCTTGTGGTTACCTTAATGGTTTCCTGCTGGCTAGCGATGTTTACAGTAAAGACTGGACCCTCCCCTCAAAAAGAGAGATGAGCATAAATATACAGTTTGCGTTCTGTCTTTTTTGTTCGCTCACTCACACACACACACACCTCCCTACACACTCACTCTCCCCCGGGCCAGAACAGGAAGTATCCACAGGATTTCCCCTCTCGCTCACATGAAAGCTGAAACATGACACCAAACACAAACACGCTCCCAAAACAGACAAGCGAATCAGTTTCTAAAACACACTCAAATGTCACTACAAATACACATCCTCACATTCAGATTCCTCTTTTTATAGGTTTGAGAATGTTTTGTGTGTACCTGAAAGAGTGACCCGTGGCCCTGTAGCCTGGCTGGGCTGAGAGGGGCTACGGGACTCAGGCTGCTCCAGAAATGAATGGAGGACAGGAGAGGACTGGGTGTCAACAGCAAACCAGAGGGAGTCTGAAGAGAGAGAGAGGTGTAGGGGGAGGTATTGGGAAAGGGGGGGACAGGAACATTATTTTGTTTTTTGATGTTATTTGTATTAGTCACTGAAGTCATGGATCATAAAATCCCAGTGTCTTTTTGAAACTTTGGAAAGAGAATGTGAGTCTCTGCATGTCCAGACACGTCTTTGCGTCAGTTTGCAGGCGATAGTATGTGAAGCCTGTCATGCACAAGTAGTCTGAGAACCCCTTTAAAAAAATCTTCCCAGATTTTTTCACCTGAACAGGACAAATTTGGAGCGTCAAAGGTATTTAGCACAAATGCAATGCCTGTAAGCAGTAGGACGACGGTTCTGGACATAGCTGACGCTTATTTTATCTGTCCAAGCGGATGGAGCATTTTGCTCAATCTCATGTTATGAAATAACTTT